TAGATAGCGTTGTCATCTTGCCCACCATAGTAGGGGTGGAGCTGGAAGGCCAGGCGGTTGGTGAGTCGAGCGAGCTGGGTCCAGTCACCACCGTGGTGGGTGCTGGCGGCCACGAGGGTCACCGCGGTTGTCAGTAGAATGGCCAACTTCATCTTGGAAAACCTGTGCAACAAAATAAAACTTACATATAATCTCAAATCGTTTTATCTATAATATAAATATATTTGAAAATATCTGTTATAAATATTAATAAAATAAAATAATATGTTTCAAATGTGTGTAAGGCGCCTCCCCAAAATTCTACTGAACAATGAATTTTGTCTATTAACCCCTGTGTATAGCGTTAATGTGGTGATAAATAATGTGCCATAACACCAGTTCTAGAAAATTTAGATAAGAATCAATATATATATATATATATATATATATCAAGGATTTGGGTTATGGCGCTCAACAGTAAAGGGATAGCTCCAATTTGATATTATCCTCAAAAGGTGCTATGAAATCCTTCATATTTGTCTAAATGTATCTAACGTAAGAATAGTGTGCCAAACCTATTTCAGTTAAATTTACTTAAAAAAACATTTGACACTTTATCACCATATAACAGTCTGAAGTAAATACGATCCGCCCTAACTCTCTCCAATGCTTTATAATAATATATGGCAGAGAGAGATTGAAATTGAAACTGCATTATTATATCGTTCATATAAGATTTTATAAGGTTAAATACAGAGAAAGTTGAATATATAGAGAAAATATCAATAGGAGAAAATAAGAGAGATAGGGTGGATTAGTCTTCTAAACATAAACAAATTTTAATCATAAATATATAGTAAACTTCATACTTAATGGGCTCCTTCATCTTGATTTGCATTTAGGCTTATACTTGATAGATTACCTATATTTACTCAAAATTTAAATTCAGCGTTTCATAACCTTTTTTTATTTCCTTTTACCTCTTTTCTACGCCTCTTTTTTCAACTAACTTCTCATCAAATGAACTTCTAATCCTAGGTCATTACATTTCATAAATAATAAATATATTCATAAATGCATGTGTGGATTTAACTTATTATATAATATAATTTAAAGTGAACATTTAATTAAGTTAAAATCATTTCTATATTATCATTTATAAGAAAGCGATTGAAGATCTTGGTACTATATTATCTGTCTAGCTAAACAATCCAGGGACTCACCTGACAGTGCTGGTAGCTGACATTTCCCCCGTTTGACTTATATAGGCCCCTTAACAGGTGCTGAGTATGAGATAACCGTTCAACTTTTTGCTGATTTGATAGGTCTGATAAAATATATTTTTACATGGACTATCTAACACTTGTTTTTATTTCTCATATCTTTTATGATATGTCTTCTTGTAGAGATAAAATTACCACTGCTGTGTGAGATATTTTTTTTTATTGAAATATCAGTTACTTGGCTATCTCTCTATAGGTTCTGCGAATACCCAAGTCCAAAATACAACATTCTTTTAATTTTGAATATTAGAGATTAAAAATTGTACATCATTAAAATTTTATTTAGAGTTGCTCTAATTGTAATATTCCATTCTTATTTTAAATATTTTAATATATAAATAGCCAAACACCTTTTTAAAAGACATCTTTAAAAAATCAATAATGTAAGGGAGGAAATTTTGAATTATTAATTATAATTCCGATAATAACCTCACTCAATACTTTGGAAAAAACTTTACAACCTAGGCATTAGTTACCAATTCATAAGTACGATCAGAAGTTACTACGAACAAGCAACTATAGCTATCAGATGGAAGGGATCATTTACGGAAAGTATTAAGATAAACTCGGGAGTCCTCCAGGGAGAACCACTTTCCCCACTGCTATTTATATTATTTATCACGGACTTAATCGAAATTTATAATAACTCAGACCTGCCGAGTGTAAATTTGCCAGAATTTGGAGATATCCATTTATTGCTGTACGCCGACGACATAGCAATTATAGGTGAGTCCAGGATGAACCTCCAAAAGAAGATCAAAATACTGAAAGAATATCTCGATGAGAACTCAATGACACTAAATGAGTCCAAGTCAAAGATTATGGTGTTCCGTAATGGAGGTAAACCCTCAAATAAGGATAGATGGTTCTGGAATGATAAACCCATAACAATAACTTCAAGATATACATACTTGGGATTCCCTCTGACACCAACAATAACAACTACTCACCCGGCAAATTACTTTAAAGGAAAAGCACTTACAGCAATTAACGCCACACACCCAATATTAATAAAATCAAAAGCAAAGTCAATAAATGTATCAATCAAACTCTTTGATACAATAGTGAGAGCTGTCCTGATGTATGCCGCTCCATTGTGGGCAACAGAGCATAAAGACTTACTGGACAATATACAAGACATATTTATCCGTAGGTTCCTGATTCTGCCCAGATACACTCCAGGTTACCTAATCAGATTAGAAACCGGTCGTATCTCATTGAGTGTAACAGCCTTAAAATTAACCCTGAAGTATTGGCTGCGGGTGTTGAATATGAGCAGTGACAGATTGCCACGTATATGTTTTAATAGAACACGGGAACTGTCTAATGCTTCGGGCACACCCATCGGTTTCATTAAAAAGCTCACCAATCTGCTTAACAATAATGGATCCCCTGCACTTGTTTCCTGTGATGACCCTGAAACGCTGAGGAGCGCGATTACAGGGCTCTTAAAAACAGCGGCAGACCAATCTATACAAAACGACCTTACAAGAATGGATAAATCTAAGCTATACTCTCACTACAAAGACATTCACATATCTTTCATGACGGAGGGATACCTTTTAGGGGATTTTCCTTTCCCGGTTGTAAGACTACTCGCACAAGTTAGAATACTTTCAAGTTTTTTTTAGAGAAAACCACACCAAGATGCTCTGCGGTGAGGACCCGACTTGTACCTTCTGTAATTCAAAACTAAAAAATAATATCACTCACTATATTTTTGATTGCTCTGCTCTGAAAGAAGAACCCTTATGCTCAAAACTGGGCAACTCTGTGCTTCACTTCCATCAATAATTGACAATATGACCCAGAATAAGTATATTGCTACGGCGTTTTATGGTTTCCACAAGTCCATATCTCAGAAGAAGGCCAAGTGATACTCACTCCTCACTTTCTTACTGCTACTCTTTTTGTGTTGATTTCTTGCTTCCCTCTTTCTTCTTATTATTATTTTTTCCTTTTCTTGTTTTTTTTCTTTCTCTTTTTACTCTGTATATATCGTTATTTCCTTTGTCTCACTGCTTTGTTCTTATGCATACCTCTGGTGAATCCTGTATAGGGTCAGTGACCCTAAATAAAGGCTTTTTTGTTGTTGTTGTTGTATAATTCCGATAATATAGATGATTTTTCAATTGGTACTTCAGACTACCTCCATAGTAAGCAGCACTCAGGTAGTACAGGCGGGTCTGAGGTTCCAGCTCCTGCTCCAGGTACTCGGGGAACTTGCCGTTGGACTCGGACTTCACATATTCATTGATCTCGTGCCTGACCTCTTCGTTATTAGAAAAGTCAACATGGTGCACTGGAGTCTGGTAGTAGCTCTGGATTAGATGCTGGTAGGAGTCCTGAATGGAGTAATCTTTATGGACATAGATTCCATAGGCCCAGGTGTAGTCATTGTGCTGCTGGTAGTAATCCTTGTAATACTGGTGCACGTTGTCGAAACCATCATAGCCAAAGGTCTTCGAGAAGTCCTGGGCAGTTTGGCCGCGAGCCCCAGCATAGATCATGGCCAGCGAGGTGGAGATGGCCAGCGGGGAGTAAGACAGCGTATACTATAAATAGTATAGTATTCAAAATTATCCTCTCTCATTTAATAATGAGGTAAAATAATGTCATTATTTTATATTGCCACGTAGAAATTATGAAATACAACCTTAAAAATAGCATGGCAATTTATTTAAGGTAAAAACAAAATCAAAATTTATAAAATACTAGCGGATGTGTACCCATATGGTGTTATCTTAAAATTGCTTGTTTTGAATATTTTTTTAGATTGAGATTATTAGCTAGTATGTAAAAAAATTAACTCTGTTGAATTTTATTTTGTATTTATATATAAATAAAATTAACTCTGTTGATTTTTTTTTGTATTTAATCGATAACAGCGAAGTTACGCATGTTAATGTTAGGAAAAATATTTTGATGTTAAGCAAAACCTGCTCCATCTCGTTTTACATAAATGTTGAAAATTTGGTCGAAATTGATGCATTGTAACGAAAGTTTTTAGCGAACAACACTTATGATATTTGCATTTTATTAATATAGATAGAATTAGCAATGAGGAAGGTTTACAGAGAGAGTAGCAAAATATAAATAATATAAATATCGAAAAATTAATAATCTATACATAAAATTTAATAAAAATTTTGCTACATAGCTTCATCCCATGGGAGCTGTGACCTACAGCTTTCAGATATTGTAGATACTGACATGGAACTAACGTGCTTCTGCCAAGAATTCCCTTGGAGTATCCAAACTTTGTCCCTAGTATCTTCGCGTGCTTTCTCTTGCGGCGTGAAGAGCGGCTTCGGCGTCGTATCGTAGAGAGGAACATCGTTTTCTTGTAGGAAAGCCTTGACTTTGACACGGGGGTCTAATCCTGGAGCCAGTCTTGAAAAATGTAGATCACAGCACCTAAGGCCTCGAGGTCTTCTCGGCGATCCCCTCAGTTTGTCTTCCCTGTATTACTTTATATATTCATCTAATAATTGAGTTATATTAAACATCCCATAACGATTTTGTTTTCAAATATCTCAATATTTATACGATCGTCACGCACAGAATAATGTAGAATGGGACTCAGATAATAAAGTGTATCTTTTCTCTGTTGTAAAGCTAAAAATCAATTAAAATATACAGTTATCAGCGTCATAATCAAGCAACAATTTTTAATCAATTCTGTCACCGTTTGCTTTGTGAATGGAATAAATACCCAAATATGGCCATTTCTCATAACCATCGGTGGTTCAGTGATAGAATGCTCGCCTGCCACGCGGGCCCGGGTTCGATTCCCGGCCGATGCATTTTTTTTTTTACAATTTTTAAAACTCATTTATATATTATACAAGAATGACATCCACGGCGCCAATTTATAATTGTAACGAATAGTATTTGAATAAAAGCATTTAATCGGGCAAAACCCGGGCGTTGCCCGGGTCATTCGGCTAGTAGTATATATATATATAACACATGTTAAGTATAGAGAATTTAGACTGAGTTTGAAAGATGAATATCATAAGTATATCACGATCTCTCTTTCTCTCTTAAATGTATCTTAATAAATTGAAGTGGTGTAAATATTGATACCATTTGCTCTACTTCAATATTAATCAGTTTGCCCTCAAATATTTTAAAAAATAAATGTGTAAACTAGAAACATATTGGTTTTCTTGTAATATTGCTTGTGAAAAAAAGCAAATGTTGGACTTTTATAAAATTAGTTTGAAATTTTATAAACTAATTTTGAATTTCGGAAATGATTGAAATATAAATTTTATATATTTCTTTAGATTTAAAGGAATGATATGTTTATTCTAAAACTTTTATCGACTTAATGCTATGACTGAAATAGTAAATTATAAATATTCAGAACACATTTTCAGGAAAGAGAGAATGAAAATAAATAGAATTTTATATACACCAAAATTTGTTCACTATTACACACTCTTTATAAGATTTTTCAATAGGTATTTAGAAATATAACATTTTTTATAATTGATTATATTTTCGATGTAAAAAGAAAATTATTTTCAGACTGTTATTTCTTTGATCAGATTTTATTAATACAAAAACAAAAAGTTATCACACCAGTATCGAGGTAGGCTGTTATCTCCCATCCACCACCTGGGAGCTGGTATATAGACTGGACTGGTCCTCTGCCATTCCCCAGTTGGATCTCAGGTGAGTTGGTGGTCCTCTCTACTACTTGTCCACCCCCCTCTCTCTCTACTTGTCATCTCCCTCTCTTGTCTTGTCTATCCCTATCTTGTTTATCCTTTATCTATCTCTCTACTTGTCTATACCCCCCTCTATACTTGTTAACTCTCCTCTCTCCCTACTTGTCTATCTTTACTTGTTTATATCCCCCTCTCTACTTGTTAGCTCTCCTCTCTACCTATTTGTCTATCATCTTTCTCTCTCTATATATATATATTTGTCTATCACTCTCTCTCTCACGCTACATGTACACGCTTTTTGGCGGTACATATACTCAAATTAGAATGATATATAGACGATTAGCAGGGTCCCTTCGCAAGGATGACACACAAAATCGTGAAGCGTTCCATATCTTTCTCTCTCTCTTTACTTGTCTATCCCTCTCTTTTTTCTTTTTTATATTTTAGGGATCATTTTTATTACTGCGGTTATTTGGATAAAAATTCGAAAAAAAAATTGGCATATCCTGACCACTAACATAAGCGTTTTTTAGATGGAAGAGGGCAATCTAGTGGAATAGGAATCAACTAAACATTGATTCAACCTTTTAGTTTTTCTTTGATTTAGTTAATTTCTCTGTTCCACTATTTGGCGTTCTGCCAACTGAAAAACGCTTATGTTAGTGGTCAGGATATGCCTAATTTGTTTTTATCAACACCTAACCTATATTATGTATTTATTCTTTTAAATTATTTTTCACAAATAAAAATATATTCAATGTTTCGCGTTTTAATATGAAAATTCAAATTGAAAGGTTATACAATTTCACTGAAAAGTTAAATATTCAATCATTTTTATACTTTTATTATATAAAATATATTACCATTACATAGCTTCATTCATTTTTGCAATATTTTGTGATAATTCAAAAGGTTTTTAAATATAAAAATTGGTGGATATTTGAGAGAGAATGAATATATATAATTAAATTTATTATATGATAATTAATATATAATAATAATTTCCTATTTGATAATTTTTTAATTCCAGGATGAAGTTGGCCATTCTACTGACAACCGCGGTGACCCTCGTGGCCGCCAGCACCCACCACGGTGGTGACTGGACCCAGCTCGCTCGACTCACCAACCGCCTGGCCTTCCAGCTCCACCCCTACTATGGTGGACATGATGACAACGCTGTCTACTCCCCGCTGGCCATCTCCACCTCGCTGGCCATGATCTATGCTGGGGCTCGCGGCCAAACTGCCCAGGACTTCTCGAAGACCTTTGGCAATGATGGTTTCGACAACGTGCACCAATATTACAAGGATTACTACCAACAGCACAATGACTATACCTGGGCCTATGGAGTCTATATCCATGAAGATTACTCCATTCAGGACTCTTACCAATATCTAATCCAGAGCTACTACCAGACTCCCGTGCACCATGTTGACTTTTCTAATAACGAAGAGGTCAGACGCGAGATCAACGAATATGTGAAGTCCGAGTCCAACGGTAAGTTCCCCGAGTACCTGGAGCAGGAGCTGGAACCCCAGACCCGCCTGTACTACCTGAGTGCTGCTTTCTATGGAGGTAGTCTGAAGTACCACACTGGAAAGTCCTTTACTGGCCAGTTCCACAGCTATGGGGACCATGACAGCCAGGTGCCCTTCTGGACCTTGAGAGGTCCCATGGACTACTACTACTCCCAGGAGTACAGAGCAGTCCGCATCCCCTTCCAAGACAACGATGAGCTCAGTCTATTGGTAGTTGTCCCAGAGCACTACAGCAGTCTGGGCCAGATCAGAGAGCACTTCTCCTACAAGGAGTACAACCACATCTGGTCTCAGATGCACCACACTGACGTGGAGGTCCACCTTCCCCACTTCAGTCTAGACTACTACCAGCCTCTGTCTGATGTCTTCAAGTCTGCTGGCTACCACTATATGTTTGAGGAGGGAGCAGACTTCTCTGGACTGTCCTCTGGGGACCTGTCCGTGTCCCAGGTGGGTCACCGGGCCTACTTCGAGCTGGAGGATCCCAGCAGCTATGACTACGACCACCATCACCACCACCACCATGGCCGCCATGAACATCACGCTACAGTGAAGGTGGACCATCCTTTCCTGTTCTACGTGGTGGACCACCACACTGAATTGATCCACTACTCTGGCTACTTCAGCCATTTCTAAAATAATTTCTGAATAAACCTTGATTAATTAGTTGCAATAATTTTTCATTTCTGCACACATCATAATTCATATGTTGTATCTATAAACGTGGATCACTCAACACAACAAATATGCCGCTAAATAAATGATAAAACTAAATGTCAGGTATTATCTCTCTCTTTATTCTATTGAAATAAAGTATTGTAAAAATGTTGGCAAGTCTAAGCGAGCTTTGATTTTTTAGCTCCACGATATTCAACAAAATATTCAACATATGCTCAGGACATATTTAGCATGTGATGTTGCTAAGGTAATTCTCTGAACAAAATACAAATTCAAAAATTTCTGGGATGATAATAATGACGTATATAAAGAGAGAGAGAAAGTTCATCTCTTCCTTTAATGAGAAGCTAAAACTGATAGCCAGCTTCTAACTCTCTTGCCAACTAGTCGAGTCGGGAAAGAGATAAAGCCACAACACAAACTTTGACGAAATTTGGAAATCATGGTATATAGGTCAGCGCTCTTTATTTTCGAAATCTTGTTTCGTGGATTTGTCTCTCACCGACGAGAGAGAGAGACTCCGCAAGTTTCAATAGACGGTTAATAGTGTTAGAGTGTATTTTAATGGAAGAGATCTTTCTTTTTACAAATCAATATCCTTCTGGAAAAATTTCCATTAATATGTATCAAATAAATAAAATTGTCATTCATAAACTTATAGGTCAGTAGAGGTACATACATATAATTTCAAGGTATTGCGTCGAGCAAAGATCTTCCACAAATATGATTTAATAACAAATATATATATTAGTAAATTAAATTTATAAGTTCAAATGCCATCTATCGATAAAATTTGTACCAAATAAATTTACTGGCATTTGCGTCTGATTTGATGATACTAAATAAAAAATAAAATTACTAGCAAAAAATGTGTTATGTTTAAATATTATCATTAAATATTATTAAGCTTTGCTCGATGCAATAGCTTGAAATTATATGCATGTACCTCTACAGATATCTATGTATAGCATAAGTTGGAGTAAATTCGGATTTACAAAAATACCATTCTGATTATTCTGGGCTTCAGGCTATGGCACATAAGTATAGAGGTGGCTTCCTCTGTGTCCCATTCTTTATCTCCAAGAGTAATTTCTGTACCAGTGTGATAAACAAAAAGCATTGTGCCTCTTTTAGAACAGATAGAATTTGATTAAAAATTTCTACGGCGAAGCTTAGCAACACTTTATTTCCCTGTTACCACAACGAAATATTTTCCCAATAATCAGTTGAATTTCTGGAGCAAATCAAAAAATTTATATTCTACACAACATTCAAATAAGGCTTTGATATTGTTTTAAAGATCAATAACGGCTATAAAATCAGGATTGTAACAACAATTACCATTATATCAGTTAACATCGAAATACAGTGGGTTATGTAAAGTTTTTTTTTCTCTCTTTTCCAGCCTAAGTTATTTACAATTCTAATAACTCACCTTCCTGATATTTTCAAGAGGTTTATAAAATAAATTTTATTTTTCCTTATATTTTGGTGAGTTGCTTTTTTATAAATTATATTTCACAATATGAAAATATTTGAATATTAAAATACAGAACGAAACTCTATGTTTTAAGGAATTTCAATGATATACATAGTAATGTTCAATATATTTTATAATATTATATCATAATATAAATTCATTTAATTCAATAAATCATTGAGAAATGCAGAATTTGGATATGTATTCAAAACATATATGCATGATTAAAATATTATTTTTAGTTATGTCAAAATCTTCAAGTGTAAACAAAGTATATTCCTGTAGTTATATCCAAAAACAGATTTGAATGTAAATTGACCACTTTGGATATTAAGAAAAGGGTTTAGCTATATTTTTATCAGAATGCGAGAAATCCCATTGTAAACATCATGGAGAGAGAATATTCATTGAAGATATTCAATCTCTCATGA